CATCTTTACGAATCGAGTTTCAAGTATTCTCGTAACTGGACGGTGTAGGATTGTTAGGTGTCAAGTGAGGACTTGTACACACACTACGATCCTAATGAACATATAATCACACATATATGTACTCAGTTAGTCTTAAATTACTAATTGATAATGTTAAGACATCCTAGAACATAATAAACACTTTATATAAGTGTTTTAAGCCCTAAGGATTGCATCTAAGCCATTGTGGGACAAGGTACTTGGGTTTAGGGTTCCAAAGGACCCCATATATGAGTTTACTCTCCATATACCATCATACATGGAGTTTACGATTGTAAACTCTTGAGTTTACGTCCGTAAACTCCCAACCTTGGTGGTATTGTGTGTTTTAAAGTTCTAAATGATCCCTAGAATTATTCCAACTTGGTGGTTCAATTCTTGGAAGGGTTTACGGCATAGAAACACCCCTTTGAGGAGTTTACGGCCCTAAGGCCATTTCCTTTACAGTTTGCGGCCGTAAACTCTTAAGGATGGGTGTTTTTGATGCTTTCAAGTCTCTTGCACATGTGGGATGGGTTCTAGACTTTTATTCCAAGCATATGAAGGCCCTTGACACACTTTGGTGTCCTTTAATCATGTTTATGGCCCATGAACTATGTCATGGCCGTAAACTCAGTTTGTTAGGTGTTTTTGATGTGTTTAAGGCCCTTGATTAAATGGGAACAAGTCTAGGTAAAAGTCTAAGGCTTTAGGTGCCTTAAAAGCACCATTTTGAGCATGATTTTGGAGTTCACGGTCCAAGATTCTCCTGGGCCGTGAACTCCCATGTGTTTGAGTTTCTTGGTTGTTTTCTTGTCCCTAACACACATATATATATGAGTCTAAGGTAGTAGCATAACACAAGGGACGGTCTAGGCTTTGTTTCGGGAGTTTACCGCCCAAGAACACCTTGGGGAGTAAACTCCTAAATCTAGTTATTTAGCCTTCTAAATCATGTTATAAACACATATAAAGCTTTTTAACACTACTTGAAAGAGTTACTCACATTTTGGTATAAAAACCCGAAGATCCGTGAGAGAGAAAATGGCTTTTCTCTAGTTAGAAATGCGAATAATGAATGAATTTGGTTCAGAATTCTATTTATAGTCCTGATATTTTTGGCAGAAAATATTTTATACCCAAAATGATCTCTAATATAATAGAGTGTTGGAATAACAGTGTTGCACAAAACTCTAGTGCAACCACTCTCCTGATATTTCCTGAAGTGTAAACCCTAAATTACTCAAACTTATACAGAAAAGTCTGAAAGTTTACTGTGACTGATATAACTTCTATTGAAGTGTTATTGTTTATACAGAATGGAAATTCTGGGTTGTCACAAGTAAACTTGATTTTGACTTGATTCTCCTTAAAATTGAATGTAGGGTTGATTCCCTTGCTTCCCATGCTCCAGCAGCACCTTTAGTCGACAATTGGCCTCCAAGGGTTCATCTATATGCTAGGGTATCGATCTGAAAGTCCCTTTATATAGATTTTCACAAAACAGGGCTACTCGGCGAGTCCAGTGACCTACTCGGCGAGTCCGTCACTTAAAACCCGTGTACTTCTGACCAACTCGTCGAGTTTATGTCCTACTCGCCGGGTCCATTTGGAATCAGCATTTTCTCAAAACATGAAAGTCGTCCGAAATTGTGTCTAGTTTTCAGAACATTTTGAATCTCGTCAATCGAAGTTACGGTTCATGAGATATGGCCAAAACACTGACAAGGGGTCAAGCTGTCCAACAACATCCTTCTTTCTTCAAAATCCAAGATCCAAGTGTCCAATCGCTAGTTCCGCTTCCTTTTCCATCCGAGCATGTCATCATTGCTGAAAAATGAAATTCTAAACTAATTAAGCACCTTTTTTTCATTAAATGAGACAAAAACAACATAAAGTATTAAGATAATGCATGGATTTTATAGCTAAATATGCTCATATCACCTTGTATTTTCATTGGCCAAGTCTTGGTGACTTTTGTGCTATGACTTTATGAAAGGATCGTTGCATAAAATGTTAGAATCTAACATATTCTAGTAGTGGCAAGAACCTTGTATTCTTACATTATCTTTGAGGATTAGGAATTGTGAAATGAGCACCACTGGAAAAGTTTTCAATTGATCTATTTCACAAAGCATGGACCATAGGAAACATAGTGTGCATGCTCGGAGCATGGGACAACTATTGTTGTAATTCAAGTAATAAGTTGATTTTTTGAAACAGTAAACAATGAATAATGAGTAATCAATATAGTGTTTAAATAAAAGTGTTTTATTTACACTCAAAAGCTTTGGGGCCATATAGGATTAAATATTATTATTGTGTTTCACTTTGCATGTTTTGACTTCCAGAATAACTGGGTTATTTGAACCTCCATAGTCGGTCATACATTGGAAGTAGGTATGAAACAAGACTGTCATGAATCTGTCTGTAGATCGTCTAGATTGTTTAGACATAGCACAAGTTTGTTGCAGAGTTCATGAGTGCTTTGATAAGGTTAGAATATTGGATTAAACCCACGCTCACTTGAATTACTTCATGGTTTTTATCACGAGTGATTGTGAGACAACAATATTGTATATTATTGAAACCGAGACGTGTGAGTTGTAATTACAATTCGGTTGCACATTGATAATATGTAAACGCACCAGTAACTTGGTGTTATAAAACTTATTGTTGTGTGTGATTTGATGAGTAAGTGCAAGCGAGAATTTGAGTCGAGGTTTATCCATTCCTTTTACCCAAAGTGGGATAATAGTGATACATGTGGGCCCCTCGGATGATTTAGTGATGACACATAAGCGCTTGGCCAAGCCGGGACTAAGTTGATGTGTTCAATTGTAGTCTGTTGTCAATCGTCCTAAATCGGATGTTGGAAAACAATATAGAGAGAAAGATTAAAATTCATGTCTCAGTCTATACGATATCTAAAATGGAGGAATATATGATCACTTATCTAAAGGACACGCGTATATAATAAGATCAGAGTTGACAACGGCTTTTGAAAGCTACGATTGCTGATCAGGTTCTGAAGTTATGCAAAATAGTTATTAGACTTATCCAAGTGGGAGACTGTTGGATTAGTGTCTAAGTCCATAACTATTTTGGTATGTACTTGACCCGATTATGAGCATGATCCTTTTGGGTTGCCTTCACCATAGCAATATGTAGGATGAATCAAAGAGAGAAAAGATTAATTATGATTTATTAATATATTATGAGATTAATATATTAAAGGAGAAATCATATTGTTTAATTAATATTAGTCAATAATTAATTTTGTGGCTAAAAGAGTTTAATTAAACTTAAGGGACTGATTGTGTAATTATAAGATAATTACATAGATAGGCTAATGGGGTCCATAGAAAATGGAGTGGACGAATTATATGGAGAAGCCCATAAGAATTCGTCCAAGGCTTCTAAAGAGGGGGTCCATGAACTGCTTAGGGCTTAAGCAGTCAAATTAGGGTTTCCTTGTTAGATAACCCTAATAGTCTACCTATTTAAAGACCCTTAAGTCCCAAAAACGTGGCTAACCTATTCAAGAGGGTTTCCTGAACGTTTTTTGAGTTCCCATTCTCTTTCTTCTTCATTTAGTTACTTAGTGGTGTTTGTGACTCCATTAGAGATGCAACGCTTGAGGCACTAAGCTTTCTGAAGCCAATGAATTGATTGTTATTGTTACATAACAATCAAAGGTAATCTCTAAACCTTATTTCAGTTCATAATATGTTAGGTCTAGGGTTTATGGCTTTGGATATTCAATTGCATGTTCATTAGACAAACTAGATCCAAAAGCTATTAGGGTTTACATGTACACCATAGGAATGGTGTATTGCTCGAAACTCATCAGTTTAGCCAAACATTCTTTTTAAAACTATGTTTTAATACTGTTATAAGGTAATAAGTTATAATTCAAAAGTTAAAAACTATTTTAAACAATCGTTGCCAAATACCAAGGTTCTAAATAATGTAAGACATGACTTGGCGACAATGTTAAGTCAGCATTGGCGAGTCACATCGTTTGTAAGACATGACATAAGACGACAATTTTTTTTTATATAATTAATGTTTTTATATGTATTTTCAGTACACATATATGAGTTAAAACGACGTTTTGGTAAAGCTTAACGGCATGTATGCCTTGAAGCCATGGTGAGTCATGACGAATTTTTTAAAACCTTGCTACATACCCTTTAAATGTGTGAGGAGAAGTAATTTTATTAATTAAGATTTATATTTATATAATAATAAACATTCATCTAACATTGTTATTCTCACGGCTAGCAATTATCGACACAACCTGCGACACGACACGAAATAAATGGGTTTGGGTTGACTTTTTCAACCCTTGAACCCGTTTATTAAACGGGTCATATATGAGTTTCTCAAAAAATATACAGGTTGACCCGCTAACCCGTTTATATTTTTAATTTATATATATATATATATATATATATATATATATATATATATATATATATATATATATATATATATATATATATATATATTAAATATATTTATGTATCAAGTATCAATATTTAATAAGTATTATCTATGTTTGTATTAATGTTTAGTTTGAACATGTTTTTATGAATGTTTTTAATTTTCATTTTGATGTTTAAGACTTAAGTAGTTAAGTATCTAAAATTCGGATATGTATGCATCAACCATCAAGAATTTATTCATATTTAATTGTTAATTTTATTTATGGAATTTGACCTACGAACTCAACTCTGACCCACGAACCCGCCAACCTGTGAACCCGTATAAATAAATGGGTTGATGGGTCATATATAAGTTTATCTTCCAAACCTATCAATCTGTGACCTGTATATTTAAATAAGTCGTATTTGAATTGATATATTTTAACCCGTCAACCCATCAACCCGCAACACGCCAACCTAATCACAATTAAATTGTGAGAATGATTATTCTAAAGTTTGCCCTATAAAATGTAAAACCGTGTAAAGATCGGTACTATTGAATTTTGTTATTTTTCTTAGCATCCTGGAAATAAATTTTTAGTAGAAAGTAGACAAACACCAAACCACCGGAATCTGCTAAGCCGTGACCGGAATATAACGCCCGGCTGATTTTGCTCGAATCGAATCAATACCAACTACAATACATGTGGAGGAGATCTGCCTCTTTCATTCTTGATAATCGATTACTTCAGGGCGACACCGTTACCAAACCCGAAAGTCGTCTTCTCTCTCCACCCTCTTCCATGGCCGAAACCCTTCCAAATCCTAACCCTGACCCTACCCTTACCATATCCCCTTACTACCAAACAAGAGCTGCCCATCATGGAGTCGTCACCAGCGATTGGCTAGCTCAGGCCCAAGCCGCTGCCGGCGGTGACACCGATACCCGGTCGTCTGAGCAGGAGAGTTCACTTAAGTCCGCCGCGTCTGAACATTCGTTCCCCGTCATTGATGAGTTTAATAATTGGAGGAAACAGCCCGATTTAGCAGAAGCTGTGGCGGCTATTAAGGCTTTGGCTTCTGTTATTAGGTCTAGTGAAGCAACCACCATGATGGAGCTTCAAAACGAACTCAAAACGGCTTCCGATTCTCTCAAGGTATGTAATCTGTCTAATAAGCATCGATTATGCAACATTCAAAATGCACATCCAAATTTGCTCAATAACCACTGCATCTTTTCTATATCTGTATTTCCAGTCATGGGATATGACTTCGATCTCATTGACGGCTGGATGTGATCTTTTTATGCGCTATGTAACTCGAACTTCCGCAGTGGAATACGAAGACTTCGATTCAGCCAAATCACGCTTCCTTGAACGCGCAGAAAAGTTTGGGGAGATTTCTTTCAAGGCATGTCAACTTTCTCCAATCAAATCCGCAACATTTCTCATCATTCTACACATCTTAATCAACCTTTTTCCTTTTTCAGGCTCGTAAAATCATTGCAATGCTAAGTCAAGATTTCATCTTCGATGGTTGTACTATTCTCGTCCATGGCTTCTCCAGAGTTGTCTTGGAAATCTTGAAAACTGCAGCTGAAAACAAGAAACACTTTCGAGTTCTTTGCACAGGTTTGTCCTCTTCTTGTCTATGGTTATCTAGACACTGAAAGAACTTAACAGGGTCTAAGCTTACTATCTCCGAAATGCAGAGGGAAGGCCAGATAGAACAGGGTTAAGATTCTCCAACGAGCTTGCAAAACTTGATGTTCCTGTTAAGCTCTTAATCGATTCAGCAGTAGCATACAGTATGGATGAAATTGACATGGTGTTTGTTGGGGCCGATGGAGTGGTTGAAAGTGGTGGCATAATTAACATGATGGGAACATATCAAATTGCTTTGGTGGCTAAAACCATGGATAAACCTGTTTATGTTGCTGCTGAAAGCTACAAGGTATGGCATCTCTTGAATCAAATCTGTAATTTTATATTCGGGTTGCTGGAATAATAATTTTTTTTTTTTAATTGCAGTTTGCTCGACTGTATCCATTGAATCAGAAAGACATGGTGCCTGCTTTAAAGCCAATTGATTTTGGGGTTCCTATTCCATCAAAAGTTGAGGTTGAAACATCTGCTAGGGATTACACTCCACCTCAATATCTTACTTTGCTATTCACAGATTTGGGTGTTTTGACACCATCTGTTGTTAGTGATGAGCTCATTCAGCTATACTTGTGATCATATTTCAGTGTTATTGATCTTTTAATGTTTCATTGGGTAGACGCTTGTTGCTTATAGTTACGGGTAGAAAGAGTAGCTCAAAGTCCTTTTTTTTTTTTTTTCTATGTAAGCATATATATATATATATATATATATATATATATATATATATATATATATATATATATATATATATATATATATATATATATATATATATATATATATATATATATATATAGTTGCGTGTGAAATATTGTGAATCTTGTAATTGAAAAGCAAAGAATAGTTGAATGGTTCTCTCATGTTTTCATGGCTACTTCTGTTTTGTGCAAGGTTTGATGTGGTTTCGGGTGAATTTGCTAATGAACACATTAAGTGAATCTTTGTATCTTTATCTTTATACATTTTTTAAATGGGTCATTCAAATCAATATGGTTCAAGATAAATAAATCATCGTGAATCATATTCATTTTAAACTCTCACATTTTCATCTTCTGCCAGTTAAATAGCTTATTAATTTAAATATTTTGCCTATACAAGTTTTTGAAAGCCTAAAAGGTAGGTAGGTATTTGGATGATTTTCTAGGTTTCAATTTACATTTACATATTTATATTTTCTTTAGATTTCAAGAAAATATTTATGGTTATATATTTTAAGAAAAAAAATGAATATTAAATATAATTGTTACAATTAGTTGAAGATATATGTTTAGTTTGCAAAATCTTATATATATATATATATATATATATATATATATATATATATATATATATATATATATATATATATAGTTCCATTATCGGGTATGTAACTAGTATAATTATAAAATGTAATTATAGTATTGATGAATATTTTACGGGAAAATGTCACTGTAGCCCCACCAACTTACATATTTTGGTTTAAAAGATTCTTTTTGTTATTTTTTGGTTTTATAAGGGCATGGATTAATACTTTACCGGTTTTTAAGGTCGTTTTCTAAAAAGTGAAGGGGTCACTCGGTGACCTCCATCCCAATGAGTCGGGTATCTTCTACATGTCATTAAAAAAAAGCCACCTCATATGCCAAATCACATGCCATGTAATTTATCGTTAAATGAGATATATAACTCTTCCTCTACAAGATATATTCTTCTTTAGTCGGTATTATATGCCCCTTTCTTCTCTTTTCTTCTATTGTTCCTCGAAAAAAGTCTCCCTTAGATTCTTGCTATGGCTGTCTACATGAAGATCGATCTTCATTTTGATGGTATGTTTACGAGGTATCCAGTGATCAGTTACTCAGGTGGAGCAGAGCAGAGGTTTGAGGATGTAGATTTTGCTGGAATGGACAAAAAAGAATTTATGTTGTTCATTCAAAGATTCACAAACAAGACATGCATTAATGTGTACTTTTGCATGCTCGATATTGAGTTCCCGGATGGATTGAGGATAATAGCAACTGAGAAAGACTACCATGAGTTGATTGGAGTATGGTATGATTGTGGTTGTGTAACTTTGTGTACATAGATCATGTTGGTGTGTTCATCAATGGATTCTTGATGAGATAGTTGAAGTATGCACCCCTGAGGACAAGTTTTCTAGTGTAGGTGAAGTAATAGAAGAGTTGTATGCTGAGACAGAATGAGGCATTAACTTAGATAAAGTGCAAGTGCAAAGTAATTTGGACGATAACATTGAAGATGGTGATTGCATTCCAATGAGCAAAACCTTGAATGATGCGTTTTTTAACAAGCTCTGCCCCAAGGTGCAGTCAACTCTAGACAATCCACCTCATGAGGATCCATATGATCAGATGGATCAAAACACACCAATTCACGAGGAGGTAATTTTTAATGAACATGTTCATTAGGAAAAGCAAAATCATGTGTTAGGAATGAGATTTGAAAGTCCTAAACAATTAAAACATATGTTGTGTAATTATGCTGTTGCAAAAGTTTATTAATTGTGCTATAGAAAAAAATGACAGTATAAAACTTTTAGCTAAATGTTGTTCAGGGCAGTGCAAGTTTAGATTGTGGGCTTCATAGATGATTGAAGAAAATTCTTTCCAGATTAAGTCTCTTATAGATGAGCATAATTGTGCAAGAAATTTAAAATGGGTTCAATTGTAAACTATGCATGGATTGGTAAGCATTTCACAACACAATTCTTACAAAAACCAAAAATCAGTGTTAGGCTACTTAAAGAAGAAGTGAAACATAAATTTGGAACCGATTTGAGTATGGGACAGTGTACGAGAGTAAAGAAATATGCAATTGAACTAATTGAATGCGCACTAGTTGAGCATTATGCCAAGCTTTGGTCATATGGTGAGGAGATAAGAAGATCCAATACAAGAGCAACTGTTAAAATAGATGTCAACAATATGCATGATGGGAAGACATATTAGTAAGTTTTATATATGTTTTGAGGGGCTGAAGCAACATTGGAAAAGCAGTTGTAGAAGAGTAATAAACTTGGATGGTTGTTTCTTAAAGAGGTTATGTAGTGGAGAATTGATATGTGTCGTAAGAAAAGATGCTAACAATCATATTTTTCCAATAGCATGGGCAGTTGCTTGTGTGGAAAACAAAGAAAAATGGAAATGGTTTTTGGAGAATCTTAAAGATGATCTAGAAATGGCAAATGGTTTTGGTATTACCTTAATGTCAGATAAACATAAGGTATGTCACTTACTATACAACTTAATGTAATTTCTTAATGAATTTGTATTTTCTTAACAGATGAATTTAAATTGTGTAGGGGCTGTTGGAGGCTGTAAACGAGGTATTGCCTACTGCTGACCACAGACAGTGTGCAAAGCATATTGTTGCCAACTTTAGGAAAAGATTCAGTGGTGTACATTATGAGAGGATGTTTTGGAAGCCATGCAAGGCATCCATTGAGTATTTATTTAACGCATCCAAGAAGGAAATACAACTACTTAATCCTATAACATTTGATTACCTTATGGAAAAGAACCCAAAATAATGGTGTAGTGCTTTCTTTCAAGAGGGCAGGATGTGTGATGTAGTTGAAAATGGATTATCGGAAAGTTTCAACAATGTCATTTGAGATGCAAGAAAAAAACCAATAATCACAATGTTAGAAGAAATTAGTTTTTATGTTATGGAGAGGCAATTCAATCTGACCATCAAAGGTTGTTCATGGCCTGATTATAAACTATGTCCAACTATTACAATCCTATCGGATAAGTTGAAAAGAGCTCAAAGGTATTAACTTTAATTTTGAATTTTAATTGATTACTTACACCATATACTAACTTCCATACAATTTAAACAGGTATTGGTAGGTTTTACCAACTGGTTTAAACCAGTTTGAAACAAGAAATTTGACAGAGTCTTATGTTGTGGATATAGATAAGAAGACTTGTTCATGTAGAGTGTGGCAACTAAATGGGCATGGATATGTGCATTCAGTTGCAACTATCTCATACCTAAATAGTGATGTTGGTAGTTATGTGGATCCAATGTACTATGGAGTAATTTACAAGAACACCTACATGTATCCAATGCGTGGGATGAATGGCAGCAATATGTGACCATCTACTGAATTCATTGCACCTTTGCCACCATTGAAGAGAAAAATGCCAGGTAGACTTAAAGTCAATAGAAGAAACGATGCAAGTGAAAGGGGTGCAAGACACACTGATAAAGGTTGGGAAAAAAAATTATGTGTAGTGTATGCAAGCAAGTAAGACATAACAAGGTTACATGTTCTCAAGTTGAAAAACCAAAAAAAACTCAAGGTAACAAAAAGGAAGAGAACAAATAGTAAAGATTATGAGAGAAACAATGGTAAGAAGGTAAAATGTGGTATAAATGGGGAATGAACTAGTGGTAAGAAGGTAAAAGGTGGTAAATATGGGGAAAGAACTAGTGGTAATAAGGGAACCAATGATAAGTGTGGGGAAGGAAGCAATGTTATCAAAGGGACTAATGGTAATGATGGGGAAGGAAGCAGTGGTAAGAAGGTAATGGGTGGTAAAGATGACTAAGGAACTAGGGGTAAGAAGTTAATTATCAAGAAAAGAAAGAATTCTGAAAGAATTACCAAGAAAAAACTTGCTACAAGGGTTGAGGGTAAGAATGGGGAAGGCAACACTAGTGACATTCCAATGGAACTTGAATAGGAATTATATTTGAATGTATCTCATTATGTACTTGTTATTTAGTGTAACACCCCGTTCTTTAAGTGTTTAATTATAAGTCCCTAAGATTTAAGAGGAAGGGTAATTCTGGTCCTTTTGCAAGAAATGAGTTCATCCAAGAAGGTTTCGGGCTGGTGTATGTGTTAGAAGCATTTGGGCTTCCGTTACCCCGTATGAATGTAAAGTTATTTGGGAGCGGGTTTAGATTAGAGGAGTTGCGGTGTTTTGAAGTTGATCATTGTTGTAGCTCTTTGTGGAATAAGGGGGAAATGGTCCCATGCATGCATGCATGTTTTTTTAATTTTGAAGTCCGGCTGGGTACGCCCAGCGTAAGCTGGACGTACGCCCAACGTAATTGGGTGAATGATGCGGGTTGGCCGGGTGAGTACGCCCAGCGTACTAAAGGTACGCCCAACATACTCTCAGAAACTCCAAACCCTAATTTAGGGTCAGCCACTATATAAGGAACATGTTGGTTCACCCCTTAGCCTCCTTATACTCATCCTTAACCTCAGAAAACCCTAGAATACCCGTATTCCTCCATTGTTGGGTGTGTTTAACCTTGGAAAACTCTTTTTGGCAAAGGAAAGGCTTGAAGGAGAAAAGAGAAGTTGTCAAAGAAGAAGAAGGATGATTAGAGCTTGTAGATCTGAAGAGATACCATCTTTTGGAGCTTGTTTGAGGTATAAAGCTTCTTGCTTGACCTTCATATTGCATAGATCTATGTATTTTGAAGCTTTGTCACCATTCTTGTCCAAAAAGTCCTCACCTTGTTGCATATTTCGATTTGGTCAAGATTATCTGTCCTTTCAGACCTTTGGAGAGGTCTTGAGTGATAAAAATGAGGTCCCAAGGGCTGTAGTTGTCACCATTCTTGTCCCAAAAGTCCTCACCTTGTTGCATATTTCGATTTGGTCAAGATTATATGTCCTTCCAGACCTTTGGAGAGGTCTTGAGTGATAAAAATGAGGTCCCAAGGGCTGTAGTTGTTCCATGTATGAGATATATAGGTCTTAATAGATTAAGACCTTGGATTAAGAGCTTAAGGACATCCCAAGTGATAAAGTATGAGACTTTGGTCTTAGCCCGATAAGTGGAAGTATGTTTGACCTAATGCTTATGCTTGTTATGTTGGTTAGTTCGGGAATTTTGGTGAGTTGGTGGTTCAAGAGTCTGCTTCTTCAGTTCAGAGTATCGGCATTCGCGAGGTGAGTTATCCTCACTATATCGACAGGGTCTAAGGCACCAAGGCCGGCCCTTTATTGGATTGAGATTCGGATATGGTTGTTATGTTATTGTTTGATATGTCTGCATCCTGGTAGCTAGGATGGTATATGCTAGAGACCTGGTTAAGGTCGATTTCCCGATATGTAGAGTGATGCTATGCTAGTGACCGGTTAGGTCGGTATCCTGGTTAGGGTAATGATATGTTATGTGATCTGCTTGATCGGTTTGTGGACTATGAACTGTTATATGATTGTATGTTATGTGCACATGGTTGTTTGGACTGGAGTTGGGTTGAGGCGGGTCCTGCTTTGTGCTGTAGGCCATGATACCTAGGGCGAACCGGTTGTTCCGAAGGCCCAGCGAGTGGTCCGGATAGGCTGTAGGCCCCACGAGGGCGGACCAGATGTGCCGAGGTTCGGAGAGTGGACCAGGCCGACTGAAGGCCCGATGCGGGCAGACCAGTCACACAGTAGACCCGATATGCATGGTTGTTCTATGTTTTGTTATGTTATGTATGCTATTTATGTTATGGGTCGGAAGGCAATATGTTTTGGACCGGAAGGTCGTAGCCTGGAAGGGCATATATGTGGTTGGTATTTTGGGGGTATCTCACTAAGCTTTCGGGCTTACAGTTGTGGTTTAAATGTTTTTCAGGTTCTTCAGGAGACCGTGGCAAGGCGAAGGCGTGATCGTACCGCTCCTCGTGTTTATGTTTATGACATGATTCTGGGAATACTCTGATAATAATTGTATTGAAAACCTTTTTGTAACAACGTTATTAAAATGGATTGTTTTTGAAAAGTTTAAATTGTGTTGAAATTTTTGGTCGTTACATTTAGGATCAAATTGTGATGTTTCGAATTAAGTTTGGATGTTTGGTGTTATGTACTTGTGATGTTTCAAAATACGTTTGGATGTTTGGTGTTATGTACAACTGTTTGTAATGTTAATGGTTTGAATGTGGTTATGATTGTGTGTTAGTTATGGACGTGCATGGTATTGGGGTCCATTTTAGACTTTAGTTTAACTGCACATGCTCCCATTTGTTCAAGTTGGAGCTATTTTCAATGTCACTATAACAAATAAAGTACCAATCTAACATACCCATTGTTTTTTTATTAAAATAAAATAAAGATACATGGACAATAGAGTACTTTTCATTACAAGGAAATTACTATCAACAAACCATTACAACTTGCAAACAATTATGCCAAAGAAAACAATCCAACTAACAACTAAATACATCTTCAGCTTCAAAATCGTTGATTCAAGCTTCTTTTTTTTGACCTAGCCAAACCTACAATCATAACTGCTTCAACACTCATATTCTTAGTGTCTACTTCTTCTACCCAGCAAATAAAACCATTATGAGGTCCCTAACAGAAAGAATTTTCAAGTGAGAGATTGAGAATGAAAGAAACTAATAAATTAGGGCTACAGTGGACAAATAAAGAAACTAACACATACCTTGGTAGGGCAAGCATAGAAGGGTCTTCCAGGGTTGGATGGAGTGGAAGACATTCTTATTATGGTGATACATCCACACGAGCATTTCACCATTTTCGCTTCGTTAATTCCAAGGGCTCCTTAGTTCCAAAACCAAACAATCACATGGAAAAAGAGAGGGATGTATGTCTAGTTTACTGTCGAGTAAGGAAGTAAAGTACTTATAAAGAGGAAATGACAAAAATACCCCTTTATTTGACCTCACGCACATCTGCCATAGTAGGTGCACCAAACACACTTAATACCGTTAACTAAGGAAAACTAAGTCCAACCAAGTATTCATATTTACCAAACAACAACAAATTCATAATCTTTTCTACTGCTTATCGTGTTCATGGATCCACCAAAAGTTACCCTAAAACAACACCAATGAACGCAAGAAATTATAAGCCATTCATGCCTAATTTTATCAGGCATGTATTTAAATTTACATTTATACCAATATCATACCAAAATGCTTGTTACATGTAACCATGACTTCAAAATACATCCAAACATTACCATTACAACCACCACTGAAGTACCACCACCTACACAAATGAAACACATATAATCCTAATAACATATATAACAAGAAACACCATTAAACCTAATAGTCGACTATGAGCACTAGATTAGCATACCACCACAACCCATGTCCATGAGATTCACCTGTTGAGTATCAAGTGAATGATGAAAATCATGACTAGGAACATGACGACGATGATACCCACAACCAACAAAGCAATTGATTTAATCTGCTTCTCAACATGATCAAACCTTTGCTTCATGTTGAGGACATCCACCCTGGAATGAAGGTAATCTCGACCCCTCTCCTCATTTATACGCTTGACCTGACCTTGTTGCTCAACTACCTTTTCTCCACAGTCATAGAAGATCATGTGAAAATCATTCAAGTTAATACCATCTGTTGACTTTATGGAGTTTTGGAGTTTATAGTATCTGGTGATAGTGGTGGGGTAGGATCCATGAAACACAATGAAGGGAAAAGGGAGTATTGTCGAAGGGTTGTCGACTAGTGTTTGGCCGGAAATGGTAACAATATTTTAGGGTTTTGTCCAACAGATCATTCTATTATATACTAGGGGACCACTGAACCCTTAGGGACCAAGCAAGCCAACTCTTTCGTGAGTCAATAACATGTCATCTAAGTTGGGTGATGTGACAACCGTCAAATTCTGGTTAAGTCAAAGTCAACAAGTCAAACCGACAAACTTATGTAGTGCTTGTATGATAGGATATATTCTATGTCTTATTATGTAAATTTTTCTATCATAATGCAAAGTATCACTCAGAAGCTTCTAAAGTTCGGAAATTCTAAACCCTAATCTGGATGAGTGATGTAGCAACTCGATAAAACATTATTACGTACCCTCCAGGGGCGTATAACACTCATAACGAGGCTTAATGGGGTTTACAAACCTTGCATTACGAAGCTAAACACTCACAAAGGTCACAAACATGGTCTCTCTCAATCTCTCTCTCTCTCTCTCTCCCAAATCTCTCTCAAAATCCCTTTTAACTTTTTATAATCACCCGGGGCATCCCGACCCTTACATTAGTCAAAAACCACTTGAAATGAGAAGATTAATGGAAAAACAGCCTTAAAGGGGTGAAGCCTCTCTTAGAGCCGAAACTACCTTAAGGACCGAACCTCTTAGACCGAAAGTACCTAAAGACCGAAACTGCTGAAGACCGAACCTTCGGTCCTAAGTTCCATCCTACCTTCGGCTCTTGGCTCATTTTACCTTCGCTTCCCACTCAACACCTTCACATGTGAGCTTCTCGGACCGAACCTCCCTTCGCGCCTGACCTTCTCTTCGCGTCTGAACCCCTAAGCCTCACAGATTCGCTCCTTTCTTCCCGGTTTTTCACCTATTTCGCGTTTTAAGTCCATTTTTGATGATTTTGATGGGGGATTTTCACCCAAACTCATATTTTGACATATAAGACCCCATATATTCATATTTTAATCATATTTTCGGGAAATCTTTACCATAGATAATATATTTTGTACAAGACATTATCTAACGGTTGGTTGACTTTTCCAAGAAGTTATGACACCATACCCACTTTATGTCACTATTCACTCCTTACCATATCAAATCACAGTCCTTTTATGCATCTTCCAACACTCCATTTGACTTACTTACACTAAATCCACCTAAAAGATCTATATCCCACTCACTCCCCAAAAGAATCATTTATCACATTCTTAGAACAAATACTCTCTCTCTTCCTCCCCCCCTCTCTCTCTCTCTTTCTCAATTTTCCTCTCTAAAGCTCGAAATTCCCAGGAAGTTCTTGAACTCCTCATCCACTCTTGTAAAGTAACTTCATCCCACTATTGAATATTCTACACTCCTTCATTCACATCATGGAATTCTTATACAAATATCATCATATTTGTTATTAGGATCTTCAAATCCTCTAGCATTCTCCAAATGTTCTTGACTTGGAAACCCCCTCTCTTCAACATCCATCTTAAGGAATCACTAAAGGTGAGTTCATACGCCCATTCTTTTCATGTTTTTAACTAGTTTTATGGGGGGAGAATACAAGTCACCACATCAAAAACATGCTTAAACTCAAACGACAACTTTCAACAAAAAAGTTATGGATCAATCACGAGTTGTTTTGACCATCTTAAACTTCATAACTTTCAGATCTGTTTAATATGGAAATATTTAAGGTTCATAAGTATAAAATGACTACTTTCACATGTTCATACGATTTTTCTACAATTTATGGTGATTTTTACAAAGCGACCTATCACTGTAGCAAAGATTTCGGACCAGTCAGTAAAAATGGTAATTTTGACACTAGTTAGAAATCATTAAAAATCATAATAAAAAGTATAAGTATACTAGACATATTTTCTGAACTTTCAGAGTTTACGGATTTAGATTTTGACTCACGATGATTTTTCTGTGATTTTTACAAAAACGGGGACAGAAACATAAAAATTTATAACCAACAGTTTACAAGTTATTAACACTATGTAATGTGTTGAGCAAAGTGTTTATCTAAGATGACTACATATTTACTTATTTTTTCTATTAAGTTTCATCTAAATAACAAAAATATACATTCTTTACCTGGGTTATTAGTCATTACAAACATACAAGATGAACTATACCGTGTATAGTTCATGACTTGCTATATTATCATTCTCTACAAAAAAAAGTTCAAACCACACTACAAACAAGTTTTTCATTACTACACACATTTATGATAAACTATAATAGGTATAGTTTATGGTTCCTTACACTACAAATACACTACAAAAAGAGGTTCAAATTACACTACAGAAAAGGTTTTCATTCACTCTACGCGTAAACTCGTTCACGTAATTTGTGAGACACTACAACATTGTACTCTTAGAGTACGAGTTAAAAATCCTGTAAGTTATAACCAGAGTCTCTTGTAGGGACAGCGTGATAGTTGTATATAGATCTATATTGGGATTGACAACCCACACCCAAGCTGCTTGTAATAGCCCGACTGACCGGTCGGGGGTGACAAATGTCATAACAGTTTCCGATGCTTGAAGAACGTCTCAGCAGGTCTACTATGTCATAGTATGGTTATAACAACTCACATAGGGAGATAACGACAAATAGAGTTTACAGGAATTTCCACATTTAAAAAGGGGTATTATTTTATAAAACTGAATAAACTACTATAAGTATGGTAAAATATTTGTACATTTCAGCCTTTGGGTATTAAGGCTACAAACCATTTTATAAGAAAAATATGGGATTTTTTCTTGTGCATACTTCACATTCTCAAAGAAAGGATCTCTATTCTAAATACAAAAGCTTATGCACTCACCAACTTAATTGTTGACACTCTTTCAAATTTACTTGTATTCTCAGGTAATCAATAGAAATTGATGACTACCAGCTTTTGAGGATGGAACGCTTCGGCGTTAATCAAACATTTTGTCATTATATTGTAATCTATTTTGAAACATGTTATTTGTGAAATCATGCAACTTTCCCGATTATATTTATAATGGTTGTATTTGATGGGTTTTGGTCATAAGACATCCTATGTGCTCATACAAACCCTAATGCTTGGATCTAGGTTTCTCTATTGACATGCTTTGAATCCAAGACTATAAACCCTAATTCTAGCATTCAAGTAATCATATTAATATGTAATTAGGTTTAAGATCATACCTTGATTGTTATGTAGCAATAACAATCCCAAATCTCCTTGTATTGACTTTGGAAGGCTTAGAGTCACAAGTGTCACTCCTCTAATGGTTCACAAACACCATAAGCAAGAGGATGAAGAGGAGAGAGGTTGGAATCTGCCCAAAAACGTATGGAACCCTCACAAGAACATTGGCCACGTTTTTGAGCCTTAAGGGGTCTTTATATAGTTGGGCTATTAGGGTTATCTAACAAGGAAACCCTAAATTGGATGCTTAAGCCCTAAGCAACCCATGGAGCCTTTTTCTTTAAGCCTTGGACGATTTCATATGGGCTTCCCCCATAGAATTCGTCCACCCCTTAATATAAGGCAATCCATGGCCCAAATTATAATTATCTTATAATTACAATTCTAGTTCCTTAAATTTAATTAATCTCTTTTAGTCACAAAACTAATTACCAATTAATTATTGACTAATATTAATTAAACAATATGATTTCTCCTTTAATATATTATTCTCATAATATATTAATAAATCATATTTAATCCTTTCTCTCCATAATTCATCCTATCAAGTTGCTTTGGTGAAGGCAATCCAAAAGGACCATGCACCATCGGGTCAAGTACATACCAAAATAGTTATGGACTTAGACACTAATCCAACAGTATTTACTTTGAGCACTATTATACTTGTTGTTGTGATACTATACATGAATTCCTCCATCCCCAAACGTTTCCGCCATCCTTAGTTCGGGGGTGTGACAGGTGAGTTGACTCTCTAACTGATTTAGGTGATGACTAGGTACGGAAACTGGTTGAATTGGGTCAAAATCCCTAATTATCCGGTAAAATGTGAATTCGTTCCCTTATAAAACCAAAAAATAACATAAGGGACCTTTTAAACTAAAATGTGAAAGTTCGTGGGACTATAGTGACATTTTCCCATATTTTACTCGAATGTATATGACTATAAAAATTTGACAACGTGATAAGTTGTTAAATTTCAATGTAAAAACACAAAAAAATGGATATTAATCTTTATTTTTATAAATATTATAAAAGAGACAATCCAAGTAAATATACTTCAAGATATGTCAAATACTTACATCATATTCATCTAAAATATCTACAACCTTTCAACTTTCAAGCAATTAATAACAACTATTCAAAAGTTTTTAACTTTTATCTTATAATTACTTAACTAAATGAAGTTCCTAAAAAATATGACATTTACTAATAACCTTTTGGTTTCCCTTTATTCAAAAGTTCCTAAAACAACTATTCGAAAGTTTTTAACTTATATTCATCCATATTAGTAGTATATAAGGAACATTCTCCTAAAACAATATTCATATGTTTGAAGGCGTTTGCGATTAAAATAAAAACAGTTTAAAAATATGAATAGTTGAAGAAATAGGTTTACTCGCTAATAGAGTATATTGCTTGAGACCATGCATATACCCTTCCCAACCGAACCATACATATGTACTGAACCGTATATATGTACCAAGCCATGCGTATGAATCGATCCACACAAATAATGACTAAAGTGCATGATGTCTTCGTAACAATGCAAAAGAACATCAGAACTTACAATATCATAGGTTGAATCATGATTGATGTTTGACAGATCCTTTGACTATCAACAAACGGTTGTTAAACAGCTACAAAGTACATATCGATGTACCTTCGAGTATCATGCCATTAATACGAAAGGACC